CGGAATTGACTCCATGGTCGGGTCTCCGGGAGAGGGCGTCAGGTCGACCCATGTCGCGGCCGGGCTTGTGGTGCAGCGTGAAATCGAACCGTGAGAGGTACAGGGACCACCGGGCCTGTCTCCGGTTGACATGCTGCGTCTTCCTGAAGTACTCCAAATTCTTATGGTCAGTCCAAATCTTGACAGGGTGCGCGGCGCCCTCGAGAAAGTGTCTATACTCCTCGAGTGCGCGGATGATCGCGAGCATCTCCTTGTCATAGATTTCGTAGTTGCGCTGGACATCATTTAAGCTTTTGGAATAGAATGCTACAGGGTGCCACTTCCCGTCCGGGGCGGATTGTGAAAGAACCGCCCCCGTCGCATAATCAGAGCTGTCCGCCTCGAGTCGGAAAGGCTGTGCATCGTCCGGAATCGCCAGGACCGGTTCCGAGGTGACCGCGTCCTTGATCGCTTGGAACGCGGAGGCCTCCGCGTCGCCCCAAGTCCACTGCTGGTCCTTCTTGGTGAGCACGAAAAGAGGGCGCGCAAGGGTCGAGAAGTCCCGAATGAACCTGCGGTAGAAATTAGCGAACCCAAGGAACTGCTGAATGTCCTTCTTGTTTTCCGGAGTCGGCCAAGCGGAGACGCCTGCGACCTTGACGGGGTCCATTTCGATGTGGTTATGGGAGATGATGACTCCGAGGTACTCGATTGACGATTTTTCAAAGTCGCACTTCTCCGCTCGGAGGTACAACTTGTGCTCTCGGAGTCGCCGCAAGACCTCCTGAACAATCTGCCGGTGTTTCCGGAGGTCGGAGTGGGCGATCAGGATGTCGTCAAGGTAGATCATGACGTCTCCGGAGAGGATGAGGTCCTGGAAAATGTCATTCATCATCGTTTGGAACGTCGCGGGAGAGTTTGTCAGGCCGAAATACATCACCAAGGGCTCAAACAGGCCTTGGTTGGTCCGGAAAGCCGCTTTCCACTCGTCACCCTCCTTGATCCGGACGTTGTTGAAGCCCCAACGGACATTGAGTTTGGTGAAGTAACGAGCGCCTTTGAGCCGGTTTATGAGGTCGTTGATCAGCGGAAGGGGGTACCGGTTTTTGACAGTCATCGCGTTGAGAGCACGGTAGTCCTGGACGAAGCGGAGTCCGCCGTCCTTCTTCTTGACGAAGAAGACCGGAGACGCCATCGGAGACTTGGAAGGGCGAATCCGGCCCATCGAAAGCCCTTCCTCGATGAACGCGTCAAGCTCGCGTTGCTCGAGGGGCGAGATGGGGTACACCTTGCAGTTGGTGGGCTTAGCATTGGGGACGAGTTCAATGGCATGGTCCCAGGCTCTCTGTTCCGGTAGCGTATCGAAGGACTCCTTGTTGAAGACGTCCTGGAACTCCTTAGCCCAGTCCACCCGTAGCTGTAAGAATTAGCCTCCTAGCTTAGGTGCACCTAGGAAATGCATTGCCTAGGATAATAAATGCACCTAGCCTAGGTGTACCCAGTGATCTAGGCTAGAATCACTTGAGGGTCTCTGGATCAATATAGCATCAATGATGGAATAAACTGTTATCTAATATATATAATATTAATAATAATGCATATATAATACTTTAAACTCCTTTTCTTCAGGCCGATGACCCGGTATATAGTTGGGAAGGCCTGTATCAATAATAATCCTAATTTGGACACAAATGATGGATCATGATATAGCCATCAAAAGTACTGATGGCAATCAAAAATGGTTCCACATTAAAAACATTATATAGATAGGGGCACTGGCTTAGGTAACAGAATACTAGATAAAGAATAATAATATATATTTCTATAAGAATAATGCTTTAGCCCAGGGTGAAGTGCTAGCCTAAAGTTCTAGGTGTACATAGCCCCCTGGCTGTACCTAGTAGCCTAGGCAATGTATTTCCTAAGTACACCTACTGGTTTTAGGCTAAATACTACCACTACGGCTCCCCAGTCCGGGATCTCGGAGGGCGGAGGGGCAGAGTTCCTGGCAAAGGCTTCGGCCAGGCGCTGTGAGACGGTGCTACCTGCGCGTATCTCCTCTGAGGGACGGAACGAGGTGTAGAAGATGCGGTCACCATCTTCGAGCTGGTCATCTTCGTCATCCGAGTCTGAGTCCGGCGTCAGATCAGGCAGGCCGGAATCGAGACCGGAATCGGAATCGTCTCCGTCCTCAGGGCCAGAGAGGTCCATAGTGCAAACCGAGGGAACGGACCGAGTTGCGGCGACTCCGGAGCGAACGGGCCGGAGCGGAGACGCTTCTGGAGCGACCGGAGTCGCCGCAACTCGGTCCGTTCGCGACACGCTCCTCCTCACGGCAGGTTGAGCAATTGCGGGGACACCATGTCATCTTGACCTCCTTGGTTTCCCAATTGATCTCTGGGTTGTGTTTCCGCAACCAGGAGTACCCCAGGATGAGGTCTTGCTTGCCAAGATGGGTGACGGCCAGTTGAACTCGTTCGGCATGGCCTCTGTAGCGCAGGACCAAGTCCGCGATCTGTTTGATGGACCCGGCATCATTAGGGGTGCCGTCGACATTGAAGACCGGAATCGGCTGATCAAGAGTGCAGACCGGAATGGCATTCCGAGCGACATAGTTCGTGTCAATGAAGTCGGAGGTGGCACCGCAGTCGACAAGCCCAGAGAGCGAGAGCTTCAACGCACTGGTGGTGGACTTGAGCTCCAACGGGAGGTGGAGGGAGTTCGCCCCAGGGGCAGCGGCAACAGTGTACTGCTTGGGCAGTTTCTTTTCCCAGGCAGTGAGGCGGCGGAGGATGATGACCGGAGTCGCGGGCGGAGTCGGAGACGGAGTCGAGGTGGGGGCAGGAGAGGGTGTGTCTTTCGTTTCAGGCTCATTGTAGGGCAAGGAACTGCATTCATCATACAAAGAGGCAAAACGATTTATAGACGCGAACGAGGGCACACCAGTCACTCGTCATGGGGGACAAAATCCTCTCCGGCCATCGACTCCACTGCCGTCTCCGGCAGGGCAGCTGTGTCCGTGTAGCGGGCGATCAACTCCGCTAACATCTCGTCACCGAGTTGTTGGATCACCTCGTCGAGGATGTCCATCGAGCAGACATCGGCGGGGAGGGGGCAATCCCGGGCGAGATGGTTTGGGTCGCCGCACCTGAAGCAGGCGCGACGAGGGGCACCCCGAGCCCTGGTGCGATCCAACTCCATAGGGACGGGAGCTGGAGGCGCCGGAGCGGGGGCGCGGGCCGCGGGTGGCACGACCGGAGCCACCGGGCGGAAAGGGGCCGGAGCCAGGATGCGGTTGACCGGAAACGGAGTCCGAATCAAACCGCCAGGCGTCTTGGGGGCGGCTGACTTGATCAGCTTGGCCCGGACCAGGGCCTCGTATTGACGGAAGGCCCGGGTGCGCCAGCTGAGGTAATCCCGGAGGTCCGGGGGGTCGTTCGAGGACGTGATTCCGTTGTTGATCAGGGGGTCAAGTCCGTGCCGGAACTTGGTCACCTTGACCAGCGCGTCTTTGAATCCGGCGAGGTCCATCAGGTCCTCGAAGTTGTCAGTGTACTGGTAGACATCCTTTGTGCCCATGAGAGAGCGTGATCTTGCTCGTTCTCCTCGACGAACCGGAGTCGAAACTCGGAAACAAACGAGCCCCAGGACGGAAACGGAAACGGGGCTTTGCTTCCGTGGCGCTCCGCCCATTGCTGAGCAGGTCCTTCTGCCATAAACGACATGGCATAGCGGACGGCCTTTTCCTCGCTCGCCTCTCCGTTGACCACGAAGGCCTCAGGGGCAAGGCGGGCGTAGGTGCGGACCACGTAGAGGAACGCGCGGCCGCGTTTCCGATCGCCGTTGAAGGTGAACGGGGGGTTTGGTCGCAAGACCAATTTTGAGGCGAGGTTGATGTCGCCAAAAAGGGCTTCGGAGTCGCCCTGGACCGGAGTCAGAGTCGGAATCAACGTCTCCGGCGATGGTGTTTGGGGTCCGCCAGCATTATTAGCGGCGGCAGCGGCAGCGGAAGCCTGGTTGGTGAGTAAAGCAAGGGCCTCAGTTAGGCTATCGATTTTCGCCTCGAGTGAGTCCAGCCGGGCGTCTGCGGTAGGAGTGACTCCGGACGGCATGACGGGTGCGGGGACCACAGGAGTAGAGGAGGAGGGGACAAGTGGCAGGGGCGGTGACGAGGGCGGAACGGACTCGTACTCTGAGCCTGAGTCAGCGCCGAACCTGGCAATCTTGTCCGCTTAATCCCGTAGAGAGTTTCTTCTGCTGTAAGGGCAACACCGGAGGCCTGAGATCAAGGTCCTAGCAGGGGAGGATCCAAAGAGAAGAAACTCTAAGGGTCTGCCTGCTAGGGAGCTGACTATATACTGCTTGTCTGTAGCTGCCGCTGTCGGGCACAGAAGGCTTGGGCGGCGTCGCAGGCGAGGTCCCAGGGTGACCGTCGGGAGGGCGTTGATGGATCGGTGATTGTGCGGGCGAGATGGAGGGCCGGACCGGAGTCGGAACCGGAATCGGGCGGAAAATTTTCAGAAATTACCATTTTGGGACGGTTTGGGACCGAAGAAACTTGCTGTGACCTGTGACAGGCAGAAAATTTTCGGCCAAAAAAGTCAATGTGACCGTGACAGGACTAATTGATTGAAATACTACAGTATCTATGAGAAGTGCTTGAGGACACCCTCCTTGATGAACTGGTCGAGCGTCGTTCGTGTCGGAATACGTGCCTTGACTCAAGGCAGTTATTTATCTGCAACGCATATTTATGCTCTAGAGACTTGTGTCCGGACTCCGAACGTTTAACCTCAGGCTTGAATAACTTGCGGAGTACGAGCGAGTTCTGTGTTTTCCTTGATACAATACAGAGCAATCAAATGTTCAAGTTCCAGTACACTGCATGCAACTACAACATGTACCTGCCTCTATCGTAGGAGGTCGTAGTACATAATGTCCAGCAGCTTTTATCCCGACTTCACGTCCCACCTAACAAAACGGATACACCAAAAAATAGCAACTAGATGCATCATTTCGAGCTATCGCCCCGGAGCCGCGCCAACGCCCGCGCCCAGGCTGTCCCCGGGATCGAACGGCTCCGGGGTGAACACAATCGTGCTCAGCGCGGTGCCGGTGGTGTCCTGCCGCCGGCTCGTCCGGTACGAGTCCCCCGGCGTTTTCGGGGCGGTGACGGGGAGCGACAGGACCGCGCTCGGCGTCGGGATGGCGCGGTTTATCGTCTGGTTGAGCTTGCTGCGGATGCTCTGGCGCGAGTTCAGGCTGCGTTTGCGTGAGACGGTCGCTGAAAGAGAGAGGAGATGGAGGGAACGGACGTGGCGAGGAGGGCGTTGGTGTACAGGCGGCCGAGGGAGAAGTGCAGTGCCTGTGGATGTGGATCAGCGCGACTGCAGGGGAATTTGGATAAGACAGACGATGTATATAAAAGAGTGGCGGGATACAAGGTACTGGTAGACATTAGCGCTGTGGAAACAAACAGGATTTCGGCACATACGGTAACCAGGCAAGCAATGGCCAGGAAGCTCGTCGCCAGTCCCGTGGCGACGGTGAACTGGATAACTGTCGAGAAGACGGACTGCATTCTGCGCCAGCATGCCAGTAAGTCCTGTGTTATGCAGTGCGAATATGACATACGGCGCGGAGAACGTGTCCCTCATGCCCTTCTGGAGGTAATACACGAGCACGAGCGCGATCGTGAGGTCCACTGCCGACGCATATCACAACCACGAACGGAAAATTCGAGGTGTTGGCACGCACCGGCCGCGCCGAGCGCGAACAAGACGACAATCTCCGTGGTCAGCGTGCCCAGGAACGACGTCCGCGGATGGATCGTGTTCTGGACGCCCATCGTCACGTCCACCGCGAACGTCGTGAGACACGCGGCTGCCAGCAGCGCCGCGAGCCACACGTTTTTCTTGCTGAAGATCCATATCCTGCGCTCATTCAGCCAAGAATCGAGGCAAGATGGCGAAAACTGGCCGATTTATGAAGAACGCCTGACAGAGGATCGCGGAGGCGCCGACGAAGATGAGATGCACGTCGAACGGCCAGGTCGTCTCGTGCAGCGCCTCCTCGACGCCCCATTTTGTCACCAGATAGTGGTAGGCCACTTGGCAGATGAGGACGAGGTGCATGGTATCAAGCACCCTAAAAATATGAGTCGAATTATTCGGCTTGAAAGAGGCTTAACGGCTGATATTCACCAGACCACGGCAACCTGGCGGGTAGTTCAGTCTTCGGGTTGTTGTATTTCTGCAAACGATGACGCACCAGAGCTTTCAGCCGCAACCGGTCATTCGGGAAGGTCTCGAAGTAGATGTACGCTTGAAGTGTGAGTATCCCCTGGAGACTGGAAGACAAGCTTAGAAACGGATTGTAAGGTAGTGGAAGGTTTGGCTCACAAGATGGCGAAGAACACTATAGTATCGGTCAGCACACAAAACCGGGTCCAATCGCGCCGACTCGCCTCCGATGAGCAGCGCGCCGTACGTCTCGTCCATCGCAGCCCCCATTGCACGGGAAAGGGGAAGAGGGGGGAGATCGCAGTCAGCTTGGAGGGCGTACGCGTTCTGTCCGTGGGCCTTTTGTAGCCGCGGCCATGGCAGTGATTTATCGCGACACGGAACGGGAATTTCACCCTCGACGACGCATCATTCGCACCCTTACGGCGCGCCTCTTCTCAGATATCGAAAGAGGGAAGCCCGAGATGCGGATGCTGAGCTATTCTTGCGACCGTCGATCTGACGCAAGAGACATGCGGAGTTTTCAGTTAGGCATGCTGCAATGCAGAGGGGATGAGAGGCTCAGAGGGCCGGGGGGAGATAAGGAGCGTACAGGGCTTGCATAATTCCGAAAGATCCGTGAGCGGGTGGCGGCGACAAGGATGGCGACAGTGACACTCACCATTTACGTGGGGCGGGGACAGTCCCCGTCCAGCGGTCGCCATTGAGCGGCAGCGCCGGCCATCTCGCGATAGCACTGCGCGGTGGGAGAGCCCGTCCAAGATCCTCGGCGCTGCAGACTGTCTGCGCAATCGAATGCATTGGTGGGCAGGAGAGAAGGTGTTGACGTGGGAAGATTGACACGCGTCGCCGCTGAGTCAGCGAGTCTTCCTTGCTCGTTCCGGTCACTGGGAAGCCGGCGCTGTCGCCGCACGGCAACACTCGGACTCTCACACATCTCGAAGAGCCTCAATAACGTCATTGCGTCCATGGCCAGCACCACACAACCGGCGAGGTCAACTGTACCATGTTTCGCGCAGGAATGCTGAGGCTTTTTAAGGCAGTGGCTTTCCGAAAACAACTTCGTATTTCAGCGTACCCCGCATCGTTTCTCGAGGAGGGGCACCTTACAGCTATTTCGGAAAACCTTGAGAATAGATCAAAATTTTTCGTGTACAACTTTTTTTCTGAGTTCGGCGATAACTTCGCTTAGCTTGCAGATCCGTCAACCGGGAGCTAGCGCCGTGAGAGTGGGCTTGGCCCTGCTTGGCCCCCAAGCCAACAAGGGAGTCTCCCATCTATCTTTGCCCCCGCCGCTCCAGCACGCCGAGCACGGTGGCGACATGGTTTATCGCGCTATAAGCAAGGACTTCAAAGAGCGTGCACTATGGCTTTGGGAGATGGGCTATATGACCGAGGATGTTTGTGAACTCCTCGGTGTTTCTCAGTCAAGTCTCTATCGCTGGAAACAGAATCGCGAGCTCTACGATGATGTTGTCCAGCCACGAGATATCTTTCACCCGCCAGGACGGCCACGCGTAGTCAACGGCGAACATGCTGATTAGTGCTGGCCAAATATAATTATATTATTTTATGGGCATAATATATTATAATCATATCATATTCAGAGCTCCAACCCAATAATATATTTGTAGTATAATATAATCATATTCAGCTGTGAAATATGAATATGTTATGAATATATTCAACTATAATCTAGTATGCATATCTCTTGATATGTTTGACATATTTGCTGCTAGAAAAAGGAATCAAAAACATACCATATATGCTGGATTGTCAGTGCACTTCCTTTTGGGCCTCCCTGGGTTACATAGGACTCTCAAAATACAATCAGGGGCATTGTTAGGTTAGCCAGTAGATACTTGATCAGAGGTCCTACACTATGTTTAATAGGTCAACCCAAAGTGATCACTCCTGACATTTGTTCCTACTAAGGGTAATGTATGAATCACCATATATAATAGATAATATGTGACATTTATCAGAAGTAGGGCTAACTCAGACTAAGATTAGTACTATGACTGAGTACATAGACTGAGAAAATAGCTGTAATCATCTACCTTACTATAGTTGAATATTCTGCGACTATAATATAGTATAGTCATAATATAATATAATATATTCAAACATAATCATATTCAAGTGATCCACAAAGTGCATAATATATTCATAATATTCTGAATATATTCAATATTTAATCAAGCATAATATAATTCTGGCCAGCACTAATGCTGATGCACTCTTTACACTGGTCCAAAATTCTCCAGAGCTTTACTTGGACGAAATCGTTGACTGGCTTTATGTCACCAAAGATCTTGTCGTCGCACGTACAACAATTCACGATCTTATTGCTGATGCTGGCTTGACCTACAAAGTCTTGCGTCGCGCCGCATCGGAGCGTGACGAGGAAGCCCGGGCCGCTTTCCGTGAACGCATACAAGGAGATTTCGTGGCCTCACAGGTAGTTGCTGTTGACGAAACAAGCAAGGATGATCGTACAATCTTTCGAAAGCGTGGCAGAGCTCCAGCTGGCCAGCGTGCCGAAACCTCTGCAGACTTTGTGCGTGGGGAACGCTATAGCATTGTTGCAGCACTGTCGACAGAGGGATATATTGCCGTACAGGTTGTTCCTGGATCTGTTCATGGTGACGACTTCTTCGAATTCATTGTAGAACAAGTGGTATGTGTTTTTATCACTATAGACATGTTTCTAACTCTTGCAGCTACCCAAAATGAATCCCTTCCCACAAGATAACAGTGTTTTGCTGTTGGACAATTGTGCAATCCACAAAAGTTATTATTTACGCCAAATTGTTGAAAGTGTTGGTATGTTATCTGTTGTTATTTTGTTTTCTAGTCACCAAGATATAGGTTGCATTCTCCTCTTCCTGCCACCATACTCTCCAGATTTTAACCCAATTGAGGAGAGCTTTAGCTGCTGTATGTGCTGATTCCTATATTCCCAACTATAAATCATTGTGTCTCCAGTGAAACATTGGATCCGAAGGAACTGGAAAACACTCTATAACAGTGAGAGCCCAGAGATTGACCTACTTGAGGCTTGCGGTGTTGTTACGGCAGAAAAGGCAAAAGGATGGTTCCGTCATGCCGGTTTCCTCAATGGTGTCACCGACTAGCCAATAATATAATGAATATGAATATATTATAGCTGTACCAATGACTATGAAGGGGTATATAGGCAGAAGCACATCTGAGTCTAAATAGAAGTAAAGAGAAGAGAAAGAGTGTGGGCAAATAGAAGAAAAGATTATGTACGTAAAATATTTACAGGAGAATAGGATTATATGAGGCAGTACTGATTATGCAGCAAGTGAACGCAAGTACTTACCATAGAATTTGAGGACCCGCTCCCACTCCATCTGCTCAAACCCAACACGACGCCATTCCGCTTCAGAAAGCTTTGATAGTGGGTCTCCGATTGACACCTTGAGCTCTTCAAGCCATTGACGGGTTGAAGGGGGCAGCTGCGGGTAACGTGAAATGAAGTCAGGTATGGAACCTTGGTACTGGATTGGTGACGAGGGTGGGTCTTGCATGCGAGGTCGTTTGGATGCACGTGTTACCATGACCGGAGATGAGGAAACATCTCGCTTGCGGCGCCGGTGAGCATGAGGTGTATCCCAAGCATCATGACCAGCATAGGGCAATTGAGAGTGATGGTGAGGAGGAGGAGGATACGAGGGTTGAGGAGGAGGAGGGTAAAATAGAGGTTGGTGGTAGGGATACCCGAAACCGTATGGACTTGGGGTTGGCATGGTCGGATACGGTGTTGGAGGGAAGAATGGTGGCTGTGGTACCATACTAGGATACTGTACTGGTACACCAGCTGGAACGGTCGGCGTCACAGGTGGTGGTAGAGCTGTTGCTGTGGCGGGTGGTATAGTGGCTGGTGTTGATGTCGCTGGTGTTGATGTCGGGTTATCAACTGGTGGAGTTGCGGCTGGTTTAGTCTTCTGCTCTGAAGGTAGCGCTCTCTCGGCCTTGAAATAGAAAGATTCGACAGGAGGGCGGGTCACCGTTGCTTCTCCCTTATCCTATCATTGTCTAAACCATGTAGAGGCAGCATGATAGATTCTTACAATTTTATTACCCCAGACAGGCTTTTTGACGTTGTCGAGTTCGAAATGAAGGTCCGATGGGTGATAGTGTGCGCATTGGATGGTCGGGTGAGTTTTGCAAGCACCAATTGGGTAAGCCTTGTCGAGTTGGGCCATACCACTCATAACGCCTTGATCGAACGGCACCTATGATATAATCAGTGGAGGACTCAGCGGTTCAGATGTGAATCCAAACCTTAGCGCTACTTGTGGTATGAAGATCATCATCAGAACCTTCGTATTCGTCGGTCCGCCCACCAAGGCCCGCCCCGAACTGGCGGATTGCCTCCCAAGCTCCTGGTCCTGTCGTTGGTAAAGATGCAGGCTGCTATTTGAGACATCAGCGCGAGAAAAGGGTATTCAGAAACACATACACTTGTTGTCGGTGCTCTGAAAACCTGGGCCATCGAAACAATTACTTCCAGGCATTTTTGACCGCCAGTGAATGACCGTATCAAGGTCCGGAACCCCGCCTCAGACGAGAGTGGGAGAGGTGACGCGTTAGCTGGTCGTGTTGGCTTCCAGGTCATCGACCTGACCGGAAGTGCTTCGATTGGACAGTTCAGCAGCTCGGCAGTTCCCTCGAGAAAGTCCTGAAATGTCATGTCGGTGTTTGCTTCGAGCGGACCAGATCGTGTTGGTGGTGGTGGTTGCGTCTTGCCGGCGGCTCGCCCGCCCCGGTATGTCCTTCCTCGCGTTGCTACTGGGCGCGTTGAGCTCGGATTCTCAATGTCGTAGTAGATGGAGAACGCGACTTCGGGTCCAGGACTGAAGGCGCGGGCAGTCGGAGTTGGTGCAGGAGTGGGTAATGTTGGTGTCTCCACGCGTTGTTTGCTGGTGCGCGTTCGACTTGGACGGCGGCGGCGGCGGCGGCGGCGGAGCAGCAGCGGCTTCGTCGTCTGAATCTTGTGATAGATCAACGTGTTGTGCTGGTCGGCCATTGCTCGGTGCCTGAGATTGTTGGACATAGTGGTGTGGTGGAACTGGCGGGACTGGTGGAGCATATTGACCCGGGCCACCACCATTGTACTGGGACCCGGCCTGGGAGTAGTAGTCGAAGAATTCATTTTGGGGTGATTCAAATGGATGCTGATTGAATTCCTGAGAAAATCGGTGAAGGAATGTGTGGTCGGCTGGGGAGAGGCCATCCATAAAAGATGCTAAGCCGGCAGCATCGCTGGGAGCGAGGCCTATGTCTCGCAGTCGTGGTGTCCCTGCAAGGCGTCAGATATACGTTGTGGGTCAAGCAAATGAGACGCACTCATGAGTTCCAGCTCTGAGAGGGTTGGACTACAGCTTCGAGGGAGCTCACGGGCAGCGCCATGGTCCACCGGGCTACCGTCGTAGTCTTGGTAGCCAAACATAGAATATTTTGGACGAGGAAAAATGGAGACAAAGTGGCGACTTCACTCGTCGCTCACTCCCTGCCTTTGGGCCAAGCCCACTCTCACGGCGCTAGCTCCCGGTTGACGGATCTGCAAGCTAAGCGAAGTTATCGCCGAACTCAGAAAAAAAGTTGTACAGTGCGTGTGACCACCTCTCGAATGCCGGATCAGTGTAGATGTCAACCAAAAAAAGATAACCACCGTTCATTTTTTGTAATGACCATAGTATTCTAAGATTGCAGGAAATGAAAGCTACAGGGTAGAGGTACCTTGAGTTAAAATATCTAAGGAATTGGTGAAGGTTTTCAAAATAGTGACCCCAGAAAAGTGATACCTGTGGGAAAATCATGTCGGCATCACTCGGCATTGATGTAGATCACTCGAATATGGCAGATAGACGTTGATGGGTGTGATAGCATCACTATATATCATGATTTTGTCATAATATGTAACCTGCCACTCCCAAAATCATAGCTGTCCAAATCTGTCTAAGCCGTCTCAAAGCCTTCAGTAGGTATATTCTAACTAGCTGAAGTGTGCAAATCTGCTAAGGTCCTGGTTCTCAGTGCTTCTCTGTCCTCAGCTACCAAAAATACAGTTTCTAGGCCTGGCAGTAGGCCGGGGAGCCACCGGACCAGTGTCCGGAAATGGTGAAATCTGGCCAAAAAGTGATACACCGTGGGAAAATTGGGTCTGAAGTGATAAATCGACGTTTTTTTGGGGAGCTGATCTTGAAAAAAAATGTCTAAAATCTTGAAAAAATTTCCCTGGCGTTACCGGGACCTGTCAGACAAGTGGTCACGCGCACTGTACACGAAAAATTTTGATCTATTCTCAAGGTTTTCCGAAATAGCTGTAAGGGGATCATCTCTTTGGTCACATTAGGTTCTTCTTACTACCTTTTGCACCTATAGCTCACCCATATCCCCTCTAATTAGAGGCGGAGACTAGGGTACTCTCCGCCTCTAACTAGAGGGGGTTGAGCTTGCCGCGAGCACCCCCGCTACCTCCGACAACCGCCGCCCTTCTTCATCGTGCCAGAGGCACCGGCCACCCCGGCGCCGCTGCCTCCGCGGCGCCCTCGCCATCCCGCCGCCGTCGTCGTCGTCGTCGCCGTTGTGACCTGGTCACAACGGTGACCATCGCGTGATTCTCATCACGGACGATCGCCGCCCGCTGTCATCGGGTCGGGGATGTTCCCGCTAGCTCCCCGCCGCTGTCAACAACCTCCCGACGTCGTCCTTGACGACGACAACCATGGTAAGCTCAAATCTTGATCAAAATCCATCAAACAAACTGATAATCTATAGTATTTGATGATATCTACACATTGGTATTGTCATCACAATCACCTGTCATCCGCGCCCTCCCCGCCGCCTGCCCGACGCGATCCCGCCGCCCCCGACCCCGCTCCCCGACTTTTTCCCATCAAAAAACAGAAAAGTAGCGCAATCAATAGAAATTACTCGAGGTACAAGTGGCTTATAAAAATATGTAACCGTTAGAGAGTTATGAATAAAATATTGTTAACTCACAAATAAAAGTTGTTAACTCATTCCACTACCAAGGTATACCTTCCACAAGGTAGATTACTGTTGTTTCAGCTCTTTACAAGGATATTTGACTCCCAGATATGGTTTCTTCCAACTGAGGGAATTTAATGCAGCCATGATCATATGGAAGTGCTCTGATTGATCTTATCTCTTTGTTCAATGATGCCTGAATATCTCAGCCACTAGCTATGAAATGGACATGTTGAAACTTGATTCTAGTATATAACATGGCACCCCATCATTTTGAAAAGTTAAAATATTTCTATTAGTGCAACAACATCTATGGAAACCTGTTTATTATATGCTAGTGAGTGTGCTTTTCAGCAGCAATGCCTTCTTGAATCTCTCAGGATACTGTATAGAAGAGCTCCAGCAGCCTGCTGGAGTACCCCAAACAGTTGGATGTGCCTATCAAAACAGCTGAGCCACTCTAATGTGTGTTTGATCCTATAGCTACCATGATTTCATTTCTCAAATCTGCTCTGTGTTTGACTGTGGATAACCTATCTAAAGTCACAGTAGCCATGGGAAGACCTATCCCTACCCTTATTCTCACCTGATGGAATGTCTGAAGTCATTCTTTTGGTAAATCCAAGTGAATCTTGCACATGTCACATTTGTAACACCATGCCATATGGCCAAATCCTACTCATTGACTTCAATGAAACAGTGTAGGATGCTAACTAGATAATCCTGAGCTATCTAGTATGTGTTATGACCAGATATATGTCTGGTTATAACTTTTGTTAGATGTTATTCTGAAGACAGGGTTGGTTCACTTAGGGCAAAAGAGACTGTCTGCGCTCTTACACCTGCTTGGAAAAAATTTCATGTATGAGATAAAATTTCACTATAGACTTGGAAAGGGCTTTTAATGAAGCTGTCAAGTACTTCAATCAATGCTACAACTATTTTAGATCTGCTGCAATACTGTAATCAGTGTTATCTACTCCAAATCTAGTACACCTATAACATTTCTCCCTTTCAACTTGAGGGTACACACAGCTGGGGGCTAGTCAGGGATATAAAGGCCTTCTCAAAGGTTGTGGAGCCTTCCTCACAGATGGTTTACAGCCCAGGATATCCACTGCCCTGTGGATGATGACATTGAGCAGTGCTTGCTTCTCATACAAGTGTGGAAATAGGCCAGAATGTACATGTACATCCCCACTCTCAAAGACATTTTAGATCAAGGTAATCCAATGAACATAGGGAAAGATATCAACTCTACACTTTATCAACAGTCCATGGCATACAGTTCTTGGTTTATAAAACTATATACAGTAAGCCCTGGCCTTAGAACTGACATTGTAGAGTCACAGGCACTGGTACCTGCAAAACAAGCCCTTAGGCTTCCATATATATTGAGTGGATGTGGAGATCTGGCTTGAGTTTGGCCAGATCAACAAATAGTGATGGTCCATCAAAAGGTGTTGGGCACACTATCTAGGACAATAGCAGGCATGGAGAGTATTGGTTTGACTTGAGATTACCTTCAAACTAGTTGGTAAGATGTTCTAAGCAGCCTGAAGGAACTCAGCAATGCATATTAATGTCCTTGGGCTCATAGGGGCTCTACAGTGGTTTGGCCTGCTTCTGCATGTTTCCTGGGCAGTTAAAGGTGCAAATATGAATCTAGTACCATCTTGAAGCCTTTGTTATTGATAAACCAAGTCCTACTCCTGTAGAAAGAACTTATTTGTAGTGAAAGGAGTTAACAACTTTTATTTGTGAGTTAACAATATTTTATTCACAACTCTTTAACCATTACATATTTTTACATGCCACTTGTACCTCGAGTAATTTCCATTTATTGTGCAACTTTTCTCTTTTTTGATCGGAAAGTGTCGGGGGTGGGGCGGGAGCGGCGGGATCGCGTCGGGCAGGCGGCGGGAAGGGCGCGCATGGCAGGTGATGGTGATTACCTCACCATTGTATAGGTATCATCAAATACTGTCTAATATCAATTTGTTTCATGTAATTTGATGGACATTTAAGCTTACCATGGTTGTCGTCGTCGAGGACGACGTCGGGAGGTTGTTGACAGCGGCGGGGAGCTAGCGGGAACATCCCCGACCCGATGACAGCGGGCGGCGATCGTCCGTGATGAGAATCACGCGATGGTCACCGTTGTGACCAGGTCACAACGGCGACGACGACGACGACGGCGGCGGGATGGCGAGGGCGCCGCGGAGGCAGCGGCGCCGGGGTGGCCGGTGCCTCTGGCACGATGAAGAAGGGCGGCGGTTGTCGGAGGTAGCGGGGGTGCTCGCGGCGAGCTCAACCCCCTCTAGTTAGAGGCGGAGAGTACCCTAGTCTCCGCCTCTAATTAGAGGGGATATGGGTGAGCTATAGGTGACCTTTTGCTGGCGCCAATCTGACGCGTTCAAGATAGGCATATGAAAACCTTCCCATGCAATCATTGTAACAGAACACTGGCCCACTGGCAAATGACGTATGTGACATGGCAACCACTTGTTGTTCCCAGCCGCGACCATGGTTATGTCTGCATCCTTGCTTCGCAGGCAAATTGTCGAAATCGAAGAAGCACTGGCCTCTCTACATCAACAAGTTGCTTCGCTGGAAGACCAACAAGCTCGGCTGACCGCCCAGCTCAGAGATATCAAGTACCCCATTCTCAGTGTCCCAGAGGACCTCACGCTCCATATATGGTCGTTTGTCGTCCAGCCACGCCCGCAGCCCGTCCACGAAGTCTTTTCCTCTGCGCCAGTGCAGCCGGCCATTGTGATGGCCAGTGTCTGCCGTGCCTGGCGGGAACTGGCGCTGTCGACAACAACACTGTGGACGACGATAACAGCATCGTGGCAACACCAGGGCTTCGAACGCTGCAACGCGCTTCTGTCGCTATTCCTGCAGAGGTCGGGCAGCGTGAGGCTGCTGGACGTCGATTTGCACTTCTCGGGCCAGGACACGTGGACGCCGATTGAGGAGGCCTTCCGAATATTAGCGCCCGAGGCCGACCGGCTGCGCCGAATCCGACTGTCGAGCTGGGCATTCTCGGGGCTGATATCGCGCGGCACCGCCTTTCCACTGTCCCTCCCCCGCCTCGAAGAGATCGACCTCGGGAATTTCATCGCCCTCCGTCAAGGCGAGCTAATCAAGATTCAAGAAGAGATCCACACCTTGTTTATGGGAACTGCGGGTGGAGCACGCCGATGCTGTCTTGATATTTGGCTTTTCATTAGCCAATCTTGTGAAGCTTGTACCCCTCGACGTCGACGCCCCGCTTGCGACGACACTTGTGCTCCTTGCACAGACGCCTCGGCTGGAGATGTTGCATTTGCTTCAGCACACTGACAAGTCTGATTATAATGATCCCAACTCCGGCATCCGGCTGGCACACATCCACGACGATCAACTCGTGTCATTATCGCAGTTGCATCAGTTGCACTGTCTGAGCGAGACATGGGCCCCCCTGGTGAACCAGCTGTTGCTCCCTGCCCTTGAAGAGATAACGCTGGGCACGTTCCGCCGCGGCTGCTCCGAAGCGACCGCAGCATGTATCCAGCGCTCGAAGATGCCGGCCTTGCGCGCGGTCACAATAGGCTCCGCCTCTCTTTCAGCAACATCTGGCGCATCATCGAGGGGCTCCCGCAAACGGTCACAGAGCTCACGCTCGACAACGTGTCATGGCACCCCGACTACGCTGAGCAATTCTTCCGCAGCGTCCGCGAGGGGACATGCCTCCGCAACTTGGAGCACCTCGTGGCTGTCCGCTGGGATGCGAACGACAGGTTCGCCAGCACTGTCATGCTCTTTGACGGGGAAAGAGTACTGATGAACAGCCCGAGAACCACCCGCCGGCCAAGCTCAAGTCGTTCACTTTTGGGTGTTGGCAGCCTGAGAGCACGCTCCGAGTCGGCGCTGTATGGCGGTCAAAGTGGGGAAGTATTAAATTTCCACACACTTTGTACAAATTTGAGTTTTCCGCAACATTTTGAATGAAAAACCATTTTCCGCAGGTTTATTTCCCAAAATTGACAGAAAGTTGCGGATCACATCCATCTGTCAAAATTCGTCACATATCTCAGGCTTCTATGGCGGTCAAAGTGGGGAAGTATTAAATTTCCACACACTTTGTAAAAATTTCACTTTTCCGCAACTTTTTGAGCAAAAAACCATTTTCCACAACTTTATTTTCTTAACTTGACAAATAGTTGCGGATCACAGCCATTCCCAAAATCCGCGAAACATTTTCAAAGAACATTTTTTCCCGCAACATTTTTTATCCGCAACATTGATCAATCTACAACATTATCTTGAATACCAGCCATTCCGACTAAGTATCTGCTTCAAGTCCCCACCACCTTGCCCAGCATCGTCGATGTCCTCCTCATTTGGCGCCGGTCCAGGGCCCGGACATATGGGAACTGCCTCCGCCGCTGGAGGGTTCACCGTCGAGTCGTCGCCCCGTGGGCCGCCCGGCCACTGCCCACCCCACCGACCCCGGTATCGGATTCGGCGTTCGCGACGGCCCGGGAGCCCGCGCGGCCGCAGTGCAAGTCGGCAGGGACATGGGAGCACTGGCGAGTATTGCGACCGTGGTCCGGTGGGGCCACTGCCACTGGGCCAGCCGAGGCCGCCGAGAAGGCAGGACCGAGGCCAGAACAACGACGTGTTCGCAGTGGCCCCACTCCTCTCTCTCTCTCTCTCTCTCTCTCTCTCTCTCCTGCGTTCGTCTTTGAGAGGGCAAGCGGTCCTCTCGTCTTCGAAGCAGAAGAGAGCCGCTGGCAGAGGACGAGGCTGTTGCTTCCTGGTTACACGCTCCCGAGTATCCCAGCTCCAAGTCCAGAACAGCAAGGCGGCCTTTTTGTCGTCTGAGATGGCGCTGGAGGGGAACGGGGGGGTCATAGATGGGCACTCGGAGCAACGCCGTGGCCAGTGGGCTTGGCGCACGAGGTTGGCTGAGTTGGAACACAACCACCGCTTATTGCCAGCGGGTCGCAGCTGACCAGACAGCACCACCCGAGTTACTGGCGGAGTTCCGGAGGAAAATGTTGTGCCATGGTAAAGTCGCGAAAAGTGTTACGAGAAATAAATGTTGCGGAAAATATGTACTTTTGAAAATGTTTCGCGGAATTTGGGAATGGGTGTGATCCGCAACTTTCTGACAATTTTGGGAAATAAAGCTGCGGAAAACAGCTTTTTGTTCAAAATGTTTGCGGAAAACTGAAATTTTCACAAAGTGTGTGTAAAATTAATACTTCCCCACTTTGACCGCCATAGGCGCTGAGTTGTCCCCGCTATACGAGATGCAACTGGATGAAGGGCTCAAGCTTACCGTCACAATGGGGAGATTCAGTACGGATGCTTTGATATAAGAGTCGTGAGTTTGGCAGAACTGCGCTCTGGTTAGCCAACAGCAGTCATTTCCCTTATTCTTTGCCACAAATTATCTTTATTTGTCTGTACATCCATCCACTGGCAGACCCAACTGTACAGTACTGTTACTATGTATGCTTTCTGCTTGGATGAAAGTGGTAAGAAAACATCATCTTAAAGTGTGAAAAACACCAAAAGATGTTCTTTCTGCTATAAAGAATTTAAGAAACAGGTATACAAACCTATATGAGAAAAATGGATTTTTAATTGACAATTCAGTTTTTCTCTGAAAGAGGTCCCTTCCATATGAGAGAAATATTATTGAAAAGCAACTATTTGTTCTAATTCAGATATATGATATTTCTTGGCTGTAGAAAGAAGTATCAAAATGTGTATATTAAATTCATCTATGAATTGGAAAAGAATAAGAATAATAATAATAATAGTAATAATAATAATGGCACAGGTCCCACATGGGGCACACCAACTCATAAGCAACTCATAAGACCAAAGTTTTGAATTTTCCCTGTTCCAAATACTTATGATCAGGCATCACGTCAAAAGGGGGGCTTGTCATGACCCATGACATCTTGATTCTTGTCTTCTTTCTCCCCACTCCTCGTCGTTTCCTTGGCCCTCTTACGCGCCTACCCGGCTCGCGTCCCGCGGCCGGCGCGTATTTGTCATTCGCGCTGTGCAAATAGCTGTAGAGCGATGGGCTACCACGGAGGGCGTGCCCGAGGTGCTCGGAACAGTTGACGGGGCCGGGACGCGCGAGCAATTAGTAACGAGCTGCGGACGGGGCCGTGCAGCTGCAGGTTGCCTCCCCCCACCATGAGCACGCTCAACGACACCACGACGACACCGACGCCGGGGGGCACGATGACGACGCCGACGGGGGGCACGATGGGCCTGCCGACGATCACGCAGGCGAACTGCAACAGCTTCGACTGCGCGATGACGTCCATGCGCATAGTCTACAGTGCGTCCGCTTTTAGACGGGGAAGGAGCAGCTGACAAACCCACTTGTGCAGTCCTGGTGTTCGTCGGCGTGATCGTCATCCTCGTCGTGCTGCTCGCGTTGTGCTTTGCGCGCCGCGCGTACCTCATCCGCCGCGGCCGCCTCACCGAGTTCGTCCCCGCCCGCCGCGCGGAGCCCGCCGTGTTGCAGCGCCCGCCACGGATGTACGAGCTCAGCATGGCCCTGGAGGAGAAGAAGGCGGCAGAGGCGTTTGTTTGGAGTAATGATGGACGATGGGAAGGCATCCTCGTGCGTGTTTTCCTGCTTATTGCTCTAGTCTAATTGGAATTGCAGCCGCTGTCCGCGACATCTCTCCCCCCACCGCCTACCAACACAACGCCCGAGAAAGCGGACCCGGATGCCATACCTGCCCCCGCCAACGACCCCCGAGGCCCGAGGTGGCTCCCACGGAGAATGCGACGGAGCAGAGAGTCAGACCCCGCCGGTTCAGTGGAACTCGCCACGAAGAACATCAGCGAGGCACAACCGGAACCCGCTGCTATGCGGGTCGCCTGCCTCATCGCGATGCCGACGCCGCCCGCAGCGGCGGCCGTGGCGGTCCGAGACGACGACGACGGGCCCAGCCTGCCGTACTTCGAGCTTGCGATGGTGAACGTCGCCGTCCATGACCCCGTCCCCAGCGCCGAAAATGTTGGAGAGAGCTGAACGAGTTATTCAAGGCTCTTAACGATGGTTGTATTCTAGATTTCTGACTGTACAGTAAATCACCGTTCATTTAAACAAACATTTAGCAACCTCATCTGAGATCATAGTTAAATTCCGATGGGTTCAGTTAGTGTGGGTATCTGTTAAGCACTATATGAAGTACTTGTCTGCAAAGTTCTATATTTTTTGTGAAATTATTGGCAGAGAATTAAAGTGTTCTTTTGGCAAAACTGAAACCAATCAATTAAACAAGTGAGCAAAGGCCCATCAAACGCCATCACGCGGGCGCGTAATTGAGCGCGTTCAGGCGCAGTTCATTTCTTGGTCCTACAGAGGTGTCCTACAGTCTACTCGTCATCCTCAGACCCCCCATTTCCCGAAATACCTAAGATGTTAATTAATTATCCATAGAGAACTTGGAGAATAGGGTTTTAAATGCAGAGTGGTTGAATTGTCAAAGCAAGCCTGAATCGGAGACCATGGATGCTAAGTGCTAAGTGCGACTGTTTCCGAGTATTGTGCACGGAATAGGCACAACTGCGATCAGATCCCGCGCCGCATCCGCAGTAACATGGGTTAAACTTGGACCATGGACAGGCTTCAAATACCCATGACGACAATCTCAGCCTGCCGGCGCTGCAACCGAAGCAGTGACACAGATGGTTCAAGGCAGTGTTCAACAGCCATGAATCATAGCTGTTGAACACTGTCCATGAGAAGTAAGTATAAGCAGCACTTAGCGGCCATCCTAGGCCTCGCAGCGTGATCCTTACTTCCATGCCGCCGCTCGACAGGACCACGACGATTCCGAGCATCTACAGCTGGTGGAGCGACACAGATCCCACAGGCGCAACCATCAACATACATGCAATGGCCAAGCCTTTAATCCGGCTCATGTACGACCGTGAGGTCAAGAAGCTTGTTTATCGGGAGGCGGGCCACGACCTTACACGGGAGATGCTGGACATATTCCTGGCATATCTTAGGTGAGCTTTGTCAGCCTCAGGCTGAATGTACATACAGATTTTGACACAACATATATAGCTCCCATAGTGTTACACTGCCAACCAAAAAGTTCATCATACAGGAGCTTGTCGAGCGGCTGAGCTTGCTTGATTCCTTGAAATCCAACACTGTCAAGCTCCTGGGCGAGTCTTTCCAATCACCCAAAGACTGCATGGTCTATGAGGAGCTGTTGTCCTCAGAACACTCTGATGAAGTGCGCCTTACAGTCCTGACGTTGGTTGGGCGGATGCTTCAGGAGGGGCTTGCAATGCCACATCACTTCATGGCAGCGTACATTGGCGCTTTGCCACAGCTTTATGAGTATGTCATTGCTTTTCCGAGTCTGGTCTGAGTCTGTACTAATCACTTCACAGACTTGGAATAAATATTGGTGCTTTGCCTCAGCTTTACGAGTATGTCATTGGCTACTGGTATAGTCTGCACTGATAGCTCTGCAGACTCGGAACACTGAGCGATGTTGCAAGAAGTCCCAATGACTGGCAGTGGTCTGTCTTGGAAAAACTTTGCACCACAAAATCTATACCTGTGGTTGAGCTTATTGTGGAAAACATCGACACATTCCGCTCTATTGTGAGAGAGGACCACAGGCTTTCACAACTCACATATATGGTAGTTGCCATGTATTGGGATCAATGGAGGTTCACATCATTGTGCGACTGTATGGCAGGATTCCCAGCACATAACACAACAGGCGTATACGGGGTTTTTTTAAAAAAGATTTCTTGTAATTAGAATATTAACATTTTTAAAAAACATCAGTGATTTACAAGTTGTCCCCTCATTTTAATAAAATCCACACTGTCAAACACTGTATCTTTCTTGGCACCTTGCCATCAACATTTTTGTTCATCTTTTTTGGCCTTTCCCCTACTCAGTATTTTCCCCATACTTAAGGAATTTTCCACACATCAGGTCTGGGGCCTTATAGCTACCACACTGCCCACCCTGACATGGCTTTTCAACTTTTTAAACCTTTTTTTGATCTCTCATTTCCCTATATAAAACCCGCCGTGACTTTTGGCAGGGGCATAAATTAGAGGCATTTTTTAAAAACATTCACACTGGTAATGAGAAGGCTTTTTTTACCCCATGTACAGGTGAACACAAAGCCTGAAGATGATAAACTATTGTCAGATTTGTAGTGAGTGCTGCAAAAATTATCAATATGGTTGTATATAATCCTTCATGTAGAAATAGAGCTCAGTCGGGGCACGATACGTGAACGACTGTATTCATATATACCTGTAGAAATAGAGCTTGTAATATGTAAGTAAGAGAGTGAGAATATAGGTATAAGGAAACACACCTCAGTCGGGGCACGATACGTGAACGACTGAGGGTATGCTCCTGAGTGAGCGAAGTATATGTACTCGATCGTTGAGGCAACGTAGATCGACGATAAGATAGTAGGGAAGGGGAATAAAGGGGGGAAGCATATGCGCGCCTCAGATGAGGCGCGCCGGCTATATGGCCAGCCGTGCCATACTTCAACACTCCCCCTGGCGCGGACGGTCCATTTGTAAGTAATAGAGAAGAAAAATGAGATAGAAAGAACGCCAGAGGGAACGGAAACTCCCCCTCGCGGGTACGTACGGGCATCTTCGCCCCGCTCCCATCCCACCACCTATTCTGTCAATCCCATCGTTCGGACGTGTGCTCGGTGTAGGTCGCGTGGCAAGATCTTCGTGAATATGTCAGCAATGTTGTCGCCCGAGGAAACATGCTGGATTTCGATGTCGCCCAACTCGACGTGCTCCCGAATATAGTGCTCTCGGACATCTATGTGCTTGACTCGAGCATGGCCTTTCGCATCGCGGGCTAGTGAAGCGGCACCCATGTTGTCCGTAAAGATCTTTGCCGGTCGATCTTGCACCATTCGCAATTCGTCCAGGAAACTATACATCCACATCGCTTGCTTCGCGCCTCGTGAAAGCACGACATATTCCGCCTCAGTCGTTGATGTAGCCACGGTCGCCTGCTTCTTTGACGCCCAGGAGACTGGTCCGCCAGACATCATGAATACCTCCCCCAGATGTTGATCGTCTGGTATCGACGTCGGATGCATAATCAGCGTCGACCCATCCAATCGGTTTGATGCCGTTAGCTTCGTCTCTCCGATAGGTCAGGCGGTAATCGAGTGTGCCTTTGAGGTAAGCGAGCAGATGTTGAACAGCTTTTCAATGCGCTGGACCAGGCGTCTGAACGAAGGCCGCCAGTCGATTGATTGCGTATGCGATATCGGGTCGTGTCATGTTTGCAGCATGAAGAATTGAGCCAACAGCCTCCCGGTATGGTTTATCGGCCATAAATTCGATTTCTGCCTTAGTTGAAGCGGCCTGGCTTTTGCTCAACACGATTCCCAAGGGCAAGGGAGTAGCTTTGGGGTTGCAGTCTAACATGCCATAACGTGTCAGTACGCGCTCGAGATAAGGGCGAGATGACACCGTTATTATCCCAGCTTCCTCATCATAGACGACGGTCATGCCAAGCGAGGACGCAGTACGCGGGACTTCAGTGACCTCGTACGCCTGCTTTATTCCCGTCACCGCCTCCTCCGCAGCCGCGCTCGACGAAGATATCCCGTCCATGTCGTCCGTGTACACTCCCATGATGGATATGCCCTGATTGCTTTCGCGAATTCGGACCGCTGGGTCAGCGCGTGATCGAACCCAATTGAGAGCACTCAAGGTTGCATTGAGCTCCTGCGCCCAGTTGCGACCCGATTGCATCATACCATACAATGAGCGCAACATGAGGCAGACCTTGTTCTCTTGGCCAGGGACAACGAATCCCTCTGGCTGGCGCATATAGACAGTTTCAGTCATTGGCGCATTTAGATACGCGCTGACGACGTCCATTGCCCACATGACCCAGCCTGGCTCGTGAACACAGATTGCCCAGAGCATCCTCAGTGATTCGTACCGCACGACACCGGCATACGTCTCAAAGAAGTCAACTCCTGCAATCTGCTGAAAGCCTTTAGCCACTAGCCGAGCCTTCCACTTGATTATTGCGCCGTCAGCATCGTACTTGACAGCATAAACCCATTTGCTGTCAATGACGTTCGCTCCGGGAGGTAAGTCAACTAGGACCCAGACCTCGCGCCCCACAAGGGACGCGTACTCCTTCCCCATTGGCGCCATCCAGACCTCGGGATACAGCATGGCTTCCCGATAGTCCTTAGGTACCGCCAGGGTCGAAATATTGAAGGCAGCTGCTGCCCGCGTCCGTCTGGGGCGCTTGCGCGCATTCGTCCAGTCCTCGCCGCGCAGCTTTCGCCGCTGCCTCATCGGATTGGTAGTCAAGGGATTCCTCCTTTGCTCTCGTCATGGTGAGTGTACGTCTGGACCGTCGAGGAACCTCCGGTACAGTGGAAGCGAGAGGCGGTTGGGGATCAGGCGTCGGTTGATCATCGAGGTCTGCATCCGCGGAGCCAAACTTGTCAGTAACGTCACTAGAAGATTCAACGGGAACGTGCGGTTCATCATCGCCCTCATCAGCATCCCCAGCGATCACCAAATCTCCCCCTGCTGGGGAGCGCGACCAGTGACCCACCCCACACCTTCGTCGAAGACAACATCGCGAGAGGAGAAAAGCCGCCGCTTCGAGGCGTCCCAGATCAGGTAGCCTGCAGTCCCGTTATATCCGACCATCACCCCTTTGACAGATCGGGGATTAAGTTTGCCGCCCGGCCTCGGTGATAGGCACGATTTTCGCGTAAGCCACGGAACCAAATATGTCACGGTTCGGGTCGGGCCGTCCGGGCCATAAGGCCGCACGGGCCCGTATACCGCCGTCCTCCTGGACGTCCCCTCATTCTTCCAACCCCTTCCGTTCACCCCTGCGGCCCTACGCAGCGCCCATCCGATCCGCCCTGGGACCTGGCGCCCATCCGATCCATCCCTAATACCGTAGCGTATAAAAGTCGTACTTACAAGATGTAGTCGCTAGGCTAATATCGTCTATTCTCCGGG